CTCCCGGGACGGGGTGGGCACAGACAAACGGCTGGCACCAGGGCTCCCGGGACGGGGTGGGCACAGACAAACGGCTGGCACCAGGGCTCCCGGGATGGGGTGGGCACAGACAAACGGCTGGCACCAGGGCTCCCGGGATGGGATGGGCACAGACAAACGGCTGGCACCAGGGGTTCCCAAGACGGGGTGGCCACAGACACACGGAGCTGGACCCCAAGCGCTCCTGGGATGGGGTTGGGTTGGGGCTGGTGCCCAGGGTCTTCTGGGACGAGGTGGGGAAGGACATGGGGCCCACCTGTGTGACGTCAGAACCACAGAGCGCCCTGTCTTGATGAGGTCCAGGATGAGATTCCAGAGGAAACGCCGGGCCTTGGGGTCCATGCCCGTGGTGGGCTCATCCTAAGGGCGGGCAAGGTGTGCAGGGCTGAACTGTGTCCACCACCTTGCCCACCCACACCTCCTGGTCCACCACCCGGCCATGAGCTCACCAGGAAGATGAAAGCTGGGTACCCGATAAGCGCGATGGCGGTGGACAGCTTGCGTTTGTTACCACCACTATAGGTGCCGGCGGGCTTGTCGGCGTACTTGGTCAGCTCCAGCTTCTCCAATGCCCACCTCACCACCTGGACAGGGAGGGCAGATACTCAGGGTCCGCTGTGCCCTGCTCAGCCACAGCCCCTGGTCCACATCCTCACCCGCGCTTCGTCCTTCCAGGGGATGCCACGCAGCCGTGTGTAGAGCTGCAGGTGCTCCCGGGCCGTGAGCTCATCGAACAGGGCGTCAAACTGCGGACAGTAGCCCAGGCTTTGCTGTACCTGCAGCAGTTCCTTCAGCACACTGCAATACCGAGCGCGTCAGCACTGAGCGTGCGCAGCCCACCCCCTCCAGCCCCGAGCCACGCCCATCCTTGTGCACCTGTGTCCATTGATGAAAGCCTCGCCCCCCGTCGTGCTCTCATCTCCTGTCAGCATCTTAAAGGTACTCGTCTTGCCCGCGCCATTGACGCCAAGGAGGCCGAAGCACTCACCGGGACGCACGCCCAGGCACAGCCGGTCCACAGCCAGGATGCGGCCTATCTTCCGGGACTTGTACACCTGGGGTCGGGGCGGGGGCAGGGAGCTGTCCCTTCAGCTGGGCAACCTGTCACCTGGGGGCCCAGCCCACCTCCTGGGCCCATACCACAAAGGCCACGCCCCCACCCACGGTCCCGCCACCGAGCTGGCCACAGACCCAGCCCACCTTGGTCAGGTTCTCAATCTTGACCATATCATTGTCTGCGTCCCCCCGCAGAACTCGCTGCCGCTCACTGGCCACGTCCACATCATCCTCCACGGGCTTGGTGGACACAGGCATACGCCTGGAGGGACAGAGTGGGCAATGCTAGGCCCACCACCACCCGGGGTCACCCACCCCTGCCACCGCTCCTGCCGTCAGTCCACTCACTGCGGCCGCCGCAGGAAATTGTACTGGCACATGATGGTGAGGAAGAAGCCGACAAAGCCCTCCACGGTCATGGCCACCAGCCCACGAGTGACGATGTCCCACTCGAAGGGGGACTTCATCTTGTCAAACTGACCTGTAGAGCAGCTGGCTCAGGGCCTGTGCTCACGGACTTCTGGAAACCCCACAGCCACCCCCACACCTGGCTCCCCACCCCGCCCTACCTCTCCCCACCTGGTCAGTCCCAGTACCTGTCCCCTCCCAGTTTCCACCCCACCTCGTTCTAGTTCCAGCCCCGCCCCGTCCCAGTCCCCGCCCCTTCTGGGCCCCACCAGGCCGGTACACACCAATCTTAGCATAGTACTCGTTGATGTACTCATTGTAAGCCATCTCCATGAGCCCATGGCCCAGGTTGTAGTTGGGGAAAATGAGAAAGCAGCTTTTCAGGTAGCTGTTGACAACCTTCAGGTCCTGGAGGGTCACGGGGTGTTAGGGACGCAGCCTGGGTAGTGGAATACCCCCTCCCCACCCCCATCTACCTCTACCTTATCATGTTCAAAGAGCTGCAGCAGGAAAGTGGCCACGGTGGCCGTGATGCCGATGAACAGATTGATGACGATGAGGAATACGTAGGCGGAGCTGGGCACCTCGAACCAGAAGGAGGCCGGGTACATGATGGGTGTGATGGACCACCTGGGAAGGGATAGCTATCACTCCGGCTCCCAGGCACAGGCCGAGGCCACACCCCCATGTCCTGAGCCACGCCCCCACGCCCAGCCACAGACTCCGCCCCTTACCCGTAGAGTAGGAAGAGGGAGAGCACAGCGGGGAAGTTGGTAGGTGATGTGTAGGCTGGCAGGTCGAACACAAACAGGATGATGACGCAGCAGGTGGCCGGGACCAGGTAGTTCAGCTGCAAGAGCAGGAGAGGCTGACTCGGGGGAGCAGGGGAGGGTTGATGTGCTGAAGGGCGGGGACCCTAGGATAAGGTGCGGAGCCCATCCCAGGGCGCTGGGAACCCAAGGGCTAAGTGTGGCAAACAGAGTGCCCGCAGGTGCCTGGAAGAGGACAAGGGCGATGGGAGCCTCCCAAATCAAGGGCGCACCATGTCCCACACGTAGTTGGCCAGCCAGTAGATGACGGGGCTGCAGCCACTGACAAACTGCAGGTGTTTGGCCTTGGTGGACTTCTCAGCCACCAAGAAGACCACGAAGCTGGCCGGCACGAAGGACATGGCAACAATGATGAAGATGGCGATGACCACATCGGTACCCTGCAGTCTGGGGGGCAGACGAGACAGCATGAGCCCAGTCCCACGTGCAGCCCCTCCCTCCCCGGCCCCCCAACACCTACAGGTAGTCCAGGGAAAGGCTGGCACTTGTCCTGTTCATGGGGTGGTTGGTGACCGTAATGCCTGTGGCAGAGGGAGAGTGGCAGCCTCAGGCCCTGCTCCCACCTGACCCTTCCCCACCCTCCACGCTCCCACTCCCCAACACCCCCCGCCCCCACCATAGGCTGCCGGATTGCCCTTGCTCTTGGGCAGGTTGGCACGCAGAATGGCGTTGTTGAGGCTGTTGAGGTAGGTGGGCATGCTGTGGTAACCCTTGTTGTTGTAGAACACCTGGAAGGAGAGGAAAGGCCACAGAAAGGCCCCGAGTGCCACCGTGGGTCACTGTGGACGCAGACAAGGGCTGGCCCACTGACCCCCAGTTGCTTACCTGGGCCACCCTACGCACAGCGATCTTCCGCACCATTGGCGGGGCCTGGGCGCCAAACGAAGTCGGGATGGCTTTCTGCACGTTGCCAAAGGTGATGGCTCCATACCTAGTCAGACAGGTGGGGGTGAGGGAGGCCCAGAGGGCACCAGCTGGCCAACCTGCCCAATAGCACCCTCTTGTTCCTGTTCACTCACCGGTGCAGCCGGAATCGGTCAGAGGTGAAGAGTAGGTACTCAGAGACGTTGTGGCCGGTGATGTCGGTCAGGATGTCGCCTGTGACAACCCGCATCTGGGGCGGGTGCCCACCCACACCACTGGGGCAGGAGAAGCCAGTGCCCTGCGTGGAACAGCTGCAGCGGACAGGCTCCCGTACCAGGCGAGGCAGCGAGGGAGCCGAGGTCCATGTCTCTGTGGGTATAGCGCGGGTCATTTGGTCCACCCCTAAGCCCTAGTTCCCCCCCAGGCCTCTCCAGCTTCCCACCCCTCTATTACGTCATGCCTTCACCCCTCCTAAATCCAGCCGCTTGCCCGCACTCCCTCATCTCTCCCCACCCTGTTGAAACCTGGCACAGTAGTGGGCAGCAGGGAGGCATTCCAAGCCTGCAGCGGATCATCGTCGAGCGATACAGGGGTGTCAGACGGGGCAGGAGAGGGTGGGGGTGGCACAAAGTTGGACAGAGGCACCCCCTGTGTGAATGACTCCAGACACATGCTATCGAAGAAGCGGGCGGCCAGCACGCGGGACTCGCCGCTACTCAGGTTCATTGTGGGCCCCAGGGAGCCATTGGCTGGGGACTTGAGCACACAGGTGGCACCTACTCCTGATGGCAGGCGGAATGTGCTCACGAGTTGCTGGGGGCTGGCATCTGGAGACAGTCGAAGTCTAGGACACGGGGTCATGAGTTGGGTGCTGCTCCCTGGCACCCCCACCCGCCCACCAGTTCTCCAGCCTCACCGGTACTCCCAGCGATCCTCGTTGGCATAGGGAATGAAGTTGCCTCGGGGCTGGGTGTAGTTGTGGTATTGAGATGGGGACAGGACCAGTGGCGGCAGGTCACCTGGCAGAGGGAGTGGGAAGGCCTCATCAATCCAGAGCACCTGCCAACAGCCCCAGATGCAGGACCCGGAGGCTCAAGCTTGAAAACTCCCAGGGTGTCAACAGCCTCCAATCAGGACTGAGGCCCTGAGCAGGCAAGGGTCGCTCTATGTGGTGAAGACCCGGGTTGAGTGGAAGCCACACTTGTACTGTCCCCCTGCCCAGTCAGCTGGCCGTACCAATCTCGGGGACAGAGAGGGCCACCGTCATGGCCACGCAGACGAAGAAGGCAGGGAGCAGGATCTGGGAGCAGAGTGCCTTGGAGTTACGCCGGGCGCAGTGGAATCGCTTCACCAGAAGCCCATGAAACTGGCGCACCCGCAGCCACCAGCCGTCCAGTGGGCGGCTGCCCTGGCCGACCCGCGTGAGGCTCTCAGCCTCGGCCTCTGTACAGGAAGCCAGGGCTGAGCAGGCAGCCCCACGTGCTTCCTGCTCGACCACCCCAGGCCCACCCGATCGTCCCCACCTTGCAAGCTGACATTGTCCGGGTCCTGCAGGTTGTCAAAGAGAGGGCGGTAGTCTCCATAGATCTCAGCATAGCCAGCAGACTCATCGCCACGGGCAGAGCCCACCGAGGAGGCTGACTGCAGTGAGGCTCGTGACTCAGCCAGCTCAGAACACCGGGCCAGGTTGCCAGTGAGCGTCTCCGCAGCCGCCGGGGCCTCTGCTCCTGGCATCACATCCTTCCTGGATTCCTTCACATCTAAGGCCGAGGAGAGACCTGAGGTCCCCTTGCCCACCTGCCTAGGAACCCTAGCCCCCCAGGGACTGGTGGGGTGAAGTGGGCAGTGGGCTCCAGGGCAGACACCCCTGTGTTCCCTCACCAGCCTCGCTATTCTCCAGGGACTGGTCCTCCTCCGACACCTTAAGGAACACTTCTTCCAGTGTTGTATCCATCAGACCAAAGCTACTCAGATGCAGTTCCTCTAGGCTGTGCTCCAGGTGCTACAGAGGAGCTGGGTGAGGTGGGGGTGGGACACAGGACCTCCCAGCAGCCCTCTCCCACCCCCACAGGCCCCCCAACCTGGAAGAGGCGCTCAAAGGCTCCCTTCTTGGCAGCCTCACTGGGCAGGATGTAGGACAGCTCAGTGCTCGTGTCTGACACCAGCAGGCAGGAGGCCACATGCTTGCGGATAAACTGGGAGACATGTGGCTCCGAACAGCTGCTCAGTGGGGCTCGGCCTGGGGGGCTAGACGCCAGCCCTGAGTCTAGGGGAGAAGAGGTGCGGGGAGGGGCTTCACTCACCCAGCAGGGTCAGTGGAGACCTGGAGAGCGGACAGACCAGGCCCGCCAGGCATCCAGGGCCCACCCTGCCACTGGGCGTCCCAGAACAGACCTTGGGGGCCTCCCGGCTCAGCGGGTCGCTTGACCAGCGTAAGGCGGTACCCGTCACCGTAGGCACCCTTGAGGAAGAGCGGAGAACCACAGCACTTGAGCTTCCCGTGGGAGATGACTGCGATGCGGTCCCCCAGCAGGTCGGCCTCGTCCATGTGGTGAGTGGACAGGAGGATGGTTCGGCCTGGGGAGGGCGAGGCCAGAGTCTGAGGGCTGAGCAGGGTCAGGCAGGCGGCCTATGACAGCCTCACCCCACTCACCAGGTTTATACTTCAGGATGAGGTCCCAGATCGCCCGGCGTGCATAGGGGTCCACGCCGGCGGTAGGCTCATCCAGGATGATGGCGCGGGACCCGCCCACGAAGGCGATGGCTACGGAGAGCTTGCGCTTCATGCCGCCGGACAGAGTCTGCACCAGCGAATGCCGCTTGTGGGAGAGTTCCAGATCTTCGATCATCCTGCAGGGCCAGCAGGCGGCCGGTGTTCAGGTCCCGGCCCCGCCCCTGGCTCCCCACCGCCCCGCCCCTGACTCCCCACCGCCCCGCCCCTGGCCCCATCGCCCCGCCCACTTGTCCATCTCCTTGCGGATCTCCTCCTGCGCCATGCTCTTCAGCCGCGAGTAGAACCACAGATGTTCCTCCACTGTGAGGCGGTCGAAAAGCACATTGTGCTGCGGGCACATGCCCAAGTTCTTGCGGATCTCGTCCATCTCCGTGCGGATGTCGTGCCCATAGATGGTGGCTGAGCCAGAAGTCGGCGGGAACAGGCCAGTCAGGATAGACCTGGATGGGAGGGAGGGGTCCAGCAACCTGACCAGATGGAGCAGCACCCACACTGTCCCCCCCAGCTTCCCCCATGCCCAAGCTTGGGCCTCACATGGTAGTGGTCTTGCCGGCCCCGTTGTGGCCCAGGAAGGAGACCACCTGGTTCTCATATAGGTTCAGGCTCAACTTGTTCAAGGCTAGCTTCCTGTCATTTTTGTAGACCTTGGTGAGCTTGTCCACACAGACCACCAGCGGCAGGTGGGTGGGCTCCTCCTCCATGCCCCGCATCTCCTCTGCACAGGGCACTCGTATCATTGGGGTAGGGGGCAGAGCTTCAACGCCCTCTGTCCCCTCACCCTCAAAGCCAGCTCCCTCATCTCCCAGCACCTCACCGAAGCGTCGGCTCTCCATAGCGCAGGCCTGGTCCTCCTCCATGATGCTGAGGCGGGGGCCATGTGCCCATGGCCAGCTCCATTCCCACGCTTCTGCCCGCCCACTGCCCAGCCAGTAAGACTTCTGCAGCGGGAAGTACCAGGGCCGAGGCAGCCCATACATGCCTGGAGACCAGGGATGGGAGAAAGGCTGACCCAGGGCGTAAGGGTTGACAGTCCACTAGAGGAAGATGTGCACACACACCCCCATCCAGGAACTGCACAGGAGCTCCTCCCCAGCCGTAGCCCCTGCCTCATGTCTCCGTCTGGATGTACCTGGATGTACAGCCTCAATGTACCAAGTGAGCACCCCATAGACCGCAGCATCCACAACAAGCATGGTGACAGCCAGCAGCAGATTGAAGTCGTCACCCTCCACCGGCGACTGGTTGAACGTGTGCCACTGGATGCCCACGCCCGCCACCTCGTACAAGGCAAAGTACTTGGACCCCAAGCCAAAGGCTGTTGTGGACATCAGGGACTGAAGAGACAGCAGCATGAGTGGGCAGGTCACGGTAGGAGAACAGGCCCGACGCCACCCAACTCACACGCCCACACTCACCGCAATGCACTTCTCAAAGGCTGTGATCTTATCGTGAGCCACCTCCTCTCGGATCGCCACATACATGTAGGGCACATAACTCAGGAAATAGACGATCCCACCGCAGGCGGAGGCCAGCTTGGCCTTGGAGTACAGCACCGACACCAGGAAACTGGGGGCCCACCACTCAGTCAGCCCCACCCCACCGCTGGAGGCTGCCGGCTGGGCGCGGGGCCACAGCGTCCCCCCACACACACCCCTGAGCTGGACTCAGGCACTCACCAGAACATGATAGTGGCCACGGCATAGACAGCCAGGAAGAGCCAGATGATGAGCACGTGGCTGTGCATGAGCACCTGCCCGTACTTGAGGATGGCGGTGAGCGCCGTCACCGAGATGGTCAGCTGCACAAAGCCCGTGATGAACCAGGCCACCCAGTGCACCGCATTGTTCAGGCCCATGGTCTTCATCACCTGCCAGAGGGCCGCGGAGGCAGCCACTCAGCCCTGGTCAGAGCTCTGCAGGCCCCGCCCCACCCCGCCTCCCGGCCGCCCCGGCTCCTCCCCCACCTCCTTGAGCCGGTGCTCCTTCTCAGCTACGATGTGTTGGATGGTCATCGCCACCGAGTAGACCCAGGAGATAACCATACAGAGTGGCATCATGTGCTCGATGACGAACAGGAAGCTGAGGGGGAAAAGGTGTCAGGGCGCCGGCCCGAGTTCCCACCTCTCCTCCTCCCATCCTACTCACTCATCGCGCGTGTAGCAGGGGTAAGGGAACATCTGCACATAGCTGCCTGGCTCCACCACGTCGTGCCCCACGAAAGTGTTGATGATGGCCCGTTCCATCATGTCTGAGGGTGGAGTCAGCGTCAGGGTTGGCCCTTCCCCACACCCCACCGTCATCAGTCCCCGCCCCTCGCGCGGGACAGCCCCTTACCCTGGATCCACACGAAGCCGTACAGGAAATAGAAGCGGCCCCCAGTGTTGGGCCCTGGGCGCCAGTAGGCCCGACGGATCTCATTGGTTTTCTCGGTGAAACTGGAGTTCTGACGGATCTTGTAGTGGACGTGGGGAGGGAGAGAGCCATCCTTCCGTGTCTGGAAGATCACGCCTGGGGACCCAAAGCCAAGCAAGGTCGTGGAGAGGGGCTGGGAGAGGAGGAACAAGGCTGGGGTAGGAGAATGAGGCCAGGGACCCAAAGGAGAAAGAAGGGGGTGGGACCAGGGCTGGAGGGGAGGGGCCTGGAAGTGGGCGGGGCTCGCAGCTCACTAGCGAACACGGTGACGTTGTCCTGGTAGGCCTGGTTGAGAGTGTAGTTGACGATGCTCTCCTCGTCCGGAAAACCCTTGAAGATGTCCACGCTTACCTGGGGACAGGCCAGGGTTGGCACAGCTCGGGAGGCGGGGCCCCGCTGGTCCCGCCCTCGACCACACCCCCACCTTGGACATGAACTGGATCCAGCCGCAGGCCGCGTTGTCAATGGTATCCAACTGCTGCAGGAGGGCCGAGCCATTGGGCAGGGAGAAGTTGTCCTGACGCAGGGCTGGAGGCAGCTCCTCCAGAGAGAGGTTCAGTGCTTCCGGGTGCAGCCGCAGTTCTGCCACGTACTGGGGGTGCAGGGCGATTTAGAGGATACGCGAGCTCCGCCGCCTCACCCCACCCCTACCCCGGCCCCCCACGGCACCTGCTGCAGCCAGTGCAGGTGTTGCTGCAGCCGTCCCTGCTCCAGGAAACTGCGGATCTCCGCCGAGATGTTAAGCCAGACCTGGGCGTAGTGGGTCACGTTGCCCACGAAGGCAAAGGTCTCGTTGGCCTGCAGAGGGTGAGGGTACCGGCATGGGGCCTCCAGAAGAACCCAGCCAGTTGTGGGTGTTTTACACACTTCTCTCCTCTGGCTCGATACAGCCTACTAGCCCTAACCTACTAGCCAGGCTCCCAACGCCCCGGCCTTCCTGAAGCTTCCACAGAACTGTCCTTAATGCTACTCTTGGACACAGTCTGCCCATGGACAGCACTGTCTCACAGCTGCTGGGACACCCCGCCCCTTCTCCACCTCCCTAATCAACCCTCGACTCTTCCCATCTCTCCTTACCCTCATCTTAGGGACCCCCTTCCAGGTTGATCTGCCCCCCCCACCAGCCCCAACCCTGATTTCAGCTAGTTCCAAACTGTTCTATCTCCCTAGAGATACTGACCCCACATGGCTTTGCAGCACCATGCTCAGCAAATCCCAAACTAATGAAAACTAACCCGCTCCCCCTCTACTGCACCCACCCAGCTGTCTGGCCAGACATCATCTACCCACACCAGGTCCTGAACCAAATATGGCCACCTGGACAGACTTAGCGGCTCCCTTTCCTCCCACAGGAGGCTCCTGTGGGTGAAGCCCACCAGGACCCCCACTTGCAGAGCAATGCCCCAGCTCCAGGGCCTGTGTCTCACGTGGGACTGCGCCCCCACAGGTCTTATGTTCCGATCCCCGCTCTGCTCACGGGGTACTGCGCGGACGGAGCGCAGCAAAAGCAAAGACCGCACCAGCCCCTGCACCTTCAGGATGACGCGGTCTGCCTCGGAGCCCGCGGGCGCGTACAGTATCTTGGGATTGCTGGTCATGAGATGCACCAAGAGGCCTAGGTTCCTCTGCTCCTTACTCGTGAACCCAAGGGAACTCATGTTGCCCCGCCGCAGCGCTTCCGGCTCTATGGTGCTGGGGAGGGACGGGCCCAAGAAAGGGGGTGTGGCTCAGGAGCCCGAGCTCTGGGAATGGGGGTGGGGACGTCGGGGGTGGGGACAGTGAATCTGGAATTGGGGAACTGGGTGGAAAGTCAGAGTTTGGAGACTCAGCGAGGGGCATCTGGGTTGCAGGGAGACCTTATTGGTTAAGATGGGGTTGTTGTTATTAAGTGCCTTCGAGTCGCTTCCGACTCATAGCAACTCTGTATAGGGTTTCCGAGGAGCAGCTGGTGAGCTTGAACTGCCAACCTTGCGGTACAAACTGGCTTTGAAGTCCAGCGTATTAACCCACAGTGCCACACTAGGATAGGGTGGTACACCAGAAATGGGGGATGGGGCCTCACGGATGGCAGGCGGGCTTAGCAGTGGAGTGGAGTTAGGGCTTCAGGAGTTCAAAGCAAAGCGGTTTCAGGAAGTCAGGAGTGGGGCAGGGCGGTGAGGAGCAAGTGGGCGTCAGGGTGTAGCCTCAAGATTGGGGGAGGGCTGCACCAGGCATAGGAGACAGGATCCAGCCCTGCCTTCCACATACCGATTGTTCCCGCAGAGGATGGGCTGCAGGCCCGCCCAGAGCTGCACAAAGGCCGCGCACTGGCCCTGCAGTGCTTCCGCCCCGGCCGGGGTCGCAGCCGGTGGACTGACCTCTTCCTCTGCCGTAGCGTTTGTCCCAGAGCCCGCCCCGAGACCAGTGCCGTTGGCCAAGCCACCGGGCCCACTGCCTGGGGTCGCAGGGGCCCGGCCCGCACAAGCACCCTGGGGTAGCAGTAAGGCCAGAGCTGAGAGGACATCCACATCCCGCAGAACCTTCTGGGCGTTCAGCAGGTCCTCCAGCAGCGCTGGCAGCCGCCGCGGGGGTGGTGGTTGCTGCTGGGTATATGAACCGTTGGCCACATCCAGGCCCAGCTGAGGGAACATGGTCATGTGGAGAGTTGCAGACTTAGGGAGGTGTGCTGGTGGGGAGCAGGGCCTGGGGGTGGGATGTGCAGGATGGCTGAGATGGGGGGGGGACAGAGAGGGGCTATGTGAGGAGAGTGGGAAGGTACTGAGGTGGGAACACAAGGCAGGGGCCCAAGCCGTGACATGGGGGTATCAGACACCCAACACAGGGTGCAGTCTCCCACACACAGAGCCCTGGTGGCTCTAACTGGGACATTGCCAGCCCTCATACTGGCTGTCCAGCTGGTAGGTGGGGGCCTCACCTGCTGGACAATCTTGGTCATGTCCAGCTGGTTCCGGAGCTCAGACGCCAACCCAGAGAAGCGGCGGGCACGGGTGGTCGCCTGCCCACTGCAGACAGCAGCCCGATAGCCCTGCAGCGCACTCTGCTGACCCTCAGGAGCGGTGAGAATGCGGCCCAGCTCCCGGGAACCTGGCGTGCAAGTCAGTCGCTCCAGGAGTTCAGGGGCAAGCAGCAGTTCCTGGGGGAAGGGGACAGTAGGTCCCCGGGCAGGGTCTCCAGGAAGGAACTCCCAGCCCAAACTGAGAGGAGACTGGAAGCTTGGCCCAAGGTGGTCTGCAGGCCTCACCGGCTCCCCACTTAGCCCAGGGCTGGGGCCTGCATAGCCTCCCCACATCCCCATGCTACTGCAGGCTCCAAGTCCCCCCTTCACTCTAGAGGGATCATTTCCTCACCCAGAGGCAGGAGGCATGCCCCCAACCCCTCTAGGCTCCCCTCACCTCCGTCCGGAGTAAAGGATTGCTACCCAGGTGGTTCCAGGGCTCCTGACCCCTGGGGAGATCGGACCCTGCGTGTAGGGTGGGCGAAGAGCCAAAGAGCAAGCGGTAGACCTGGGAGGCCAGGGAGGGGAGGAGGCGTGACTCAGGTTGGGGGGTTGCAAAGCCTGGCACTGGGACCCACTGAGCCCTGAAAGGTAGCTCAGCTGTCCCCCACGTCCACCACCAGGGGCTATGAGGCAGGCAGAACATAGTAGCCAGGACTGGGAGCTGCCTCCATGGGTACAGACCACCCACCTTGGAGCGGGGGCCCACCTCACCTCGGGTGAGTCCACCCGGGCAGCCAGGAGGGCCTGCGCTGTGCTATTAGGCAGTGATAAGTTCTGCGTCAGGAAGCGACAAAGCTCCCGTGGATCCCTGGCCACTGAGTCCAGAGAGAAGGTGGACACTGGACGGGCATAAGAAAAGGTGGGGGCCAGCTGGGGGGCCGGTCACTGTGCCCTGCCACAGCCCAGCAGGCCCCGAGTGTAGGGTTCAGTAGTGCCCATGTGTGCCAACAAAGAAGACCAGGTAGATAGGGTAAGCGTAGAATGGAGGCGACCACTCAGGCTGCCCGTGAGCCCAGGCGCACCTGCAGGGCTGTCCACGCCTCTCTCCCAGACACGCTGGCCGCCGGTGCTCAGGGTTTCCAGGTGCTGCTGCAGGGCTTCGAGCTCGGAGCCTAGGCTAGGTCGTGCTGGGTCGAACAGGTTGCCCTCCTCTACCACGCGACTGAGGCGTTCCAGAAGCTGCGTCACCCTAAAGCATCATGGCTGTCACCAACAGTCCAGGGACAGGAAGCCAGGCTTCTGGGGGTGCTCCTACAGGGGGTGCTGGGTGGGCACTCATGGGGGGGCAATTGTGAAGACAGTGGAGGATTCCTGTAAGAGGTGAAGGGGACACTCACGGGGAGTTGGTGGGGACACTCA